CTCAATGAAGTGAACCACAATAGTATGGTTTAAAACCAACAGTTGACTTGGCTAAGACTGGATTTTCTTCCACAGTTCGGTGCAAGAATTGATCACCCATCACTGACCACTGACCACAACTGGGTTGTCTTGGGAGAGGCCGATCTAATCCGGTGGCCTTGTGTATATGAAAGCCTAGTTGTACGTCAGCCTTTGTTGGACGCTGATGTTCCTTGTACTGAACCTTGCTCTGTGTACTGAGCAATTAAAGTGGCTTGCCCTGCAGCAGTTGACCCAGGGTTGACCCATGAGCCCAACCTGAATGAGAAGATGCTCAATGAACTACATGTAGGGTCTCAGAAGGTTGTTATAAAGGGACAGCATTAATGAGGTTGTTTTAACTGGATGCCGGCTGATGTCTATTCCATGTTCATGGCTGGAATACTGATCTTGGGCAAGCCATTTCTAATAAGCCATTCTTCTTTTTTTCCCGCTTTTTCATTTTTTCATTTTTTTTAAAGAAGGGGGAAACACACCTTGCTCCCCAGCATGACCCATGTCTATTCTGACCTATGGTATAAAGTTTATGACAAGATATTTTTATGATTATATAGTCAAGCCCTTCAAAGCTATGGAAAACTTGTACACCTGTTCATAGTTCATGCTTTTTACTTGAAAAAAAATTTTTTTTTTCATATTTGTAGGGCATTTAGGGAATCCTCTATCTTTCCTCAATCCGGTATCAACAAGGTCTCTTTTTGAGGGAAGGGGAGAGACGGTTCACATTTCTCCATCTGCAACAGATGCCTACCTTCCTGGCAAAGAATTCCTGTGAAACCCTCCGGGCAAATGCACTGCGTACCATCCAGCAATGCTTCTCTCACGCAGGATCCTCCATTCTTACATGGACAGATATCAACAGTACCATCTGAGAGAAAAAGAAATCAATCGGAAGGTACAGCTTCACTTTCAGTTCTGGCTATGTTGGAGACACGAGCCATCCATCTTGGTGTATTTAAAAGCCCTATCCAGTCAAAGGCACTAGCACCAATTTTAAACCACTGGTGTGTAGGCTCTAGAGCCTCGCATTTTCCATTGGTGCTAAGCTGTAAGATAAAGCTATATCTTACATGTAGTCTGAAGTTTTTCCAAAATTGAAGAAAGAAGAACACTGGTATCTTGGTAGGCTCTCAAATTTTTCGTAGGCCGTGAATAATTCTTAAGCCCTATGAACACGAATTGATAATTATCCAGCCCTGGCTGTGTTGAGCCACACTCCTCAAAGGTTGGGGGGGAGCTCCAATCTCTTGAAACAGAAGTCTAAGACAAAGATGAGGTTTGAAAAAAAAACAAGGTAGCCTACATGGAGCACCTAGATTATCCTACTCTTTTCAACTGTTGCATGAAGCATTTGTCTGTGCTACAGATGGAGAATATGGGGAAAAAGAAACTGCTATCGATCAAAACCATCCACAGAGTTACACATGAAATGAGCAGTGCAGAAGGAAAGACCGAAAGAGGTGCTGGGTTTCAAACAATTTTAGTTTTTCAATATTTGAAAGTGCTTTTTGACAGAACGTTCAAAAAATTCTGGACACATTTTACACACGTTAGCTGTAGTTGCCTGTGCACTGGTCAGAATTCGTATAAAAATGAGCCTGTAAAAATAATGCATACTGCAATTGATATTACGGCCTGGTGGTTGCTAATCAGGAAATTGTTGAGAAATCGCCCACAGTACGAGAGTGCCACTTGGCCAAAAGACTGCAACGACTATAGCCTTCATGACTGCCATTTGGCTGAGTTTCTTCTGTTGCAACGGACTCAGAGCAAAATGAGCAGTTGACGACTCTGTTCCTGTCATTTTTGTCCGCCTCGACTGCACAACAGAAAGCTGTTGGGGCAAAGGTTTTCCCAATGGTTGTGAGGTTTTATACTGCAGCTATACATACAGCTTCCAGTCCAAACAAGAAAGTGAATAGGGAGGGGATAGGGTCTGGTCTTTTGACGTTACACTCTTGTTTTTCCTACAAGTGGCTGCTCAAACTATAGATGATTCCGCTGGTACCAAAGTAAAACAGTAATGTACAGAGTGTTAAAAATCCCACACAGCTATCGGAACACCAGATAATAATACACATATCCCTACCTACTAAAAGAAAATACAACCCTGTTTAACAATCAATGAGATGAATGTACATTTTGAACATGTTAGAGGTGAAATTGAAAGCCTACCATAAGGTGATATTTCTGCAAGCAGTCGCAGCCCATACAAGTTGTAGGCAAAATAAAAGTGGTCTATACAGATGCCACTTGATACCCTGTGCACAAACCCTAGACTGGTCGGAAAAATTTGAAGTGTTTTTCTGAGCAAATACCTCAATGTTTTCACTGCTAAATTTGACTTTTTGGGACATTTCATTGCTTTCAGATTACTAACAGGTCACTGTAGGGAAAAATTGGTTGTGTCTGTGTGGAATTCTTTCTTAAAAATTGCTTGGTGTGCAGGTGTGTACATGTAAGTAATCAAACAAATGTTTGAATGTTTGGTTAATGACAGAATATTTGCTATGTTGAAGACAGCATTATATGCTCCCATTTACTGCAATGGCGTGCTCTGGTGTGGAACTCCAGTGTTACTAAATTTCAAAGCTTTTCACACTTTTCTTGGAACTTAGATGCGTTGTCACCACTCCATAAATTCTGTAACACAACGTCATGATATCCGTGTACGCATTGCCCTTTTGAACCCTAAAATCATTCAGGCCTTTTGTGCACAAGCTCTCCTGTCTTTGATAATGCTCGAGTGAGCCAAACTTATTTTTTAGTAAAGCTGAAGCGGGCTGCAGAACATTGTAAATCCTATTCCGTTCTTGGGGCAAAGCCGTGGCTGTACAGGCAGTCATGCATGAGCCTGTGACAGGCTCACAGCTAAACTGCCTACAGCCTTACACCCTTTTAAAAGATGAAAAATGTTCAAATATGGCTGATTTCCTAACAGGTTCAAAAGGAACTGAATAAAATGGAATGGTGTTTTCTGCAAGTTCGGCTGGTCAAATATCAGTTATTAAAGCACATTTGTACAGTTGACCACAATGCCTTGGCTTCACGACCCAGCTTTCAACTTTCACCTCTGGCCTGAACATTTTCCAGGAGCTTGCTTTCTAGCCAATGAATTTCTGCCATCAGTGTAAGGTTTTCTGAAGACATTTTTTTGCCTTGGGCTGGGGATCAGTTATGGTTGCTGGTCTCTCAAAAGGGAAATTTTCTTTGTCAAGGATGTGGTCCTACCTTTCATGTCCAAGACTTCTCTCTTCTTCCTGAATGGTCCTGAAAAATATCAAACAACAACAGGTGGTCAAAATACACAGAACTTCATGGGACGTGTGGAGTGTGGAAACAAAATAGGGAAAACAACTTTTCCGACACAACTTGTTCCAAGTTGCAGCTCACTCCTGACAAATGACACTTTCTTTGTAAAATCATTTGAGGGACATTCATAGGACACTACACAGGGGTTAAAACTCCAGGGGTGGGGGGTAGGATTATATTCCCCCAAGATACTTTTTGGCAGGGGGGGGAGGATTGGTCATTTGGTCATCCCCTAAAGCTGGGTGGGAAGAATCTTCCCAATTTTAAGCGTATTTTTGCCTTTCCAAAAGCCAAAATGTATCCAATAGGACTGAAATACAGAGAACAAATGATGCAGACTCTTTCCATGCACAATTTCAAAGTCAGGTTAAGGAACACAAGTCTGTCAAATTACAAACACACTAAGGTGTTCACCTGTATTACGAAAAGCACTTAGAGTGTAATGTGATGCTCTGTAAAATGGGGAACAAATGGAGCAAACTCTTGAAATCTACCATTTTGGTGTGAGATCATCTCCCTCCCCCTTCCTCCCCTGCTAGTATAAAGATTTTACCCCCGACTCGATGTCCTCCTCAATCCTACTAAGTCCCACAATATCCCTCCATATGGATTGGGGAGGATCTCAGAAGGTCACAGTCAAAGATTTTCATTCTAGAAACTGCAAATAGACAAAGTTGTGCTAGCTTTTTTACCCCCAAATCTCCAAATTTGGGTCCAGTGAGGGTTGCGTAACTGAACATCTTAACAACGGCTTCTTTCTGTGCCTGTTACAGAAGCAATTAACTCTTGTCTCAATAGTATAATTCAAAATCCTTGATTCTGCAGCGTTTTGTTCTTAAAACAATTGTTTGGCTGGCCCATAGCAGATGGCATACAAATATGATAGTGTTAGAATTATATGCAAATTATGCATACTATCAGTGCATGGTGGGAAATCAATATTTATGTTTTCCCACAAGTCATAGTACACAGTGAGACTTCAGTCACGTAGTCCCATGCACGGACAAAATACCTTGCACAGTAGTCAATGACGCTCTGTATTTTCATGCATTCTGTTTTGTTTGTGCAGAATAGCAGGAGCTACTGAACTGTTTGAGAACCTTTCAACATGAAGCGAGTTTAATGAACTCTCACTGAGATAAAGGAGCAATGATCGTGCTCATATCTCAACAAATTAGTGCCTCGACATCAAATCTCTGAAGATAAGCCAGATGTGTACTACATTTTATTTCCTTGTAGAAAATGAGATTCCAGTGAAAATGTGAATACAAAATTCATTTCAGGGTGTGTCAAAAATGATCTCCCTTTTCTGCCATACTAAGAGATTGTGCATATTTTCAAAGTTCCTGTGAATAAAAAGGAAATTGGATATTGTCGTCCCATGCTTTCTGAATGCTGACAGTCAACAAAAAAGTTATACATGTGCATGTACTGGTATCTAAGATTTGATATCTCGGAAGCTGGTGTGTCTCCCATATCCACAAATCGGTAAAAGCATAGAAATGCCAGTAGTTTTGGACAACTCTCACAGAGGTCATCTAAAAATCAGGACAAGCCTAATGGAATCGTCCAGCAGGAACAAAAAGACTTCAAAGTGCCCCATAAGCTGTTCAAGCGCACCAAAAAAAACTGACCTTATATACTGTACACTGCTGTGAGGCCGGAAAAAAACCAAACAAATCTACAATAAACACAGACTGGAAATGAGGTTGAAAGAAAAGCACACCTATGTGACTGAAATTTTCACATGTACAATATTATTTGAAAATCCTGCACATGTGCTTCCAGAAGATTACGACTACAAGGAAACTTGAATAAATGGAAGTCCACTTCACTGGATAACTTTCGATGGCTGTGTTTGATTGTCCTGATGAAGATATCTAACCATGACTGAGTTTGCATACCTGAGCTTTGTGAATACATCAAACCAATGAAACCATGCCCGAGATTTGTACAAATATCCTTGACACATCCAGTTATTGTTGGCTTGATGTATGGCGCACAGTGTAGTGGGATTCAAAATACTAGCTTTAAACACGACTACCCAAAGGAAAACTTTTGGAATTGAAAAAAAAAAGAAGAAAGTCTTTAACTTGATTAAGTAAAACTTGTATTGAAGCAGATTTAAATGTGCCAGTAAGGAATGGAATCACTACAGTAGTAACAACTAAAAATGAACTTCTGAACACATGACATACATAAAAAAACTAAAGAAACTAAGGCACACTGGCTTATTGAGAGGGATTGAGTCATTTCGCTTCTCTAAACTTAACTTCTGAAATTTGTACATATTTCACCCTATCTAATTTGCTGCATTCCGACGTTTTTCCTGTCTGAAATCCAACATTACTAAAGCTTCAAAAATCGAAATTTTTCAAGAAATCAATTCATAAATAGTCCATGACTTAAACCAGGTAGTTATTTAGAAATTTGGCCATTTAGTTAGAGGGGTACTCAATCATTTCTTTGCTGTACTGTACTTCCGAAATTCGTACATATTTCACCCTATTTCATTTGCTGCATTCCGATGTTTTCACGCCTGAATTCCAACATAACTAAAGCTCCAAAAATCTAAGTTTTTCAAGAAGTTAATTCCTAAATCTTATGATGGTGTGCTTGTTTACATCGTTACAATGCCAGCAGAAAGCATATTTATGGAAAGTCAATGATGCTATTCCAGTGGTAACAATATTTCCAGCTCACATTAGGCGGGAGCCTAACAGCCTGGTATCTAGTGACCCGTGTCGGATAATGCCTTCCCTCAATGAGACCCAGTCACGTTCATGACCTTTTCTTATGTAAGCTTGGCTGCCGTTGGAATTGGAAACGTTTCCCCATGCTTACAAAGTTCAGTAAATCTCGAGGAAAGAAATGAGTGCAACCGTGCAACTGTGGGGGGTATTACCTCTTCACATACACATCTTTCATTTCTGTGTTTGTCTGGCAGAGGATTTCTTTATACTTAAATAGAGTTTCGGTGCAACCTGATATTTGGTTTTGGCAAAGGTTGCAGGGTAACTTTGCTTGTGTGCACAAGAGTACGAGCATGAAGCAGAATGGTACATAGACATAGTCCATTGTTTGGCTTGCATTCCACTCAACAGCCACTAAATAATGGCATCTCAAAAGTTCTTAAGGCTTAAGATATTACACTTTTTTGTTCATAGTCATGGGTGGCATTTACAAAAAATGACTTTTGAGCAAACATACGCTTGAACTGCCAATAATTTGATATTATGAAGTGAAACAAAACCTAATTAATTCATGGGAATTGTGTGAATGTCTTCCATGGAAACTTCAAAATGACAGATTACAGTTCAATTTTGAAGTGAAGAAAAATTTATGTTATCTATCTCTGGTTCTTGTTCCTTGCCTAGGGTTAAAGCAAAATTGTTCCGAGAGTGACAAAATAAGCAGACAAACAAAAACTGCCTGGGCCTAGTTCTTGTAAAAGTCCTCCCTTTTTTGTGTCTGTGGGGGTTACTTTGGTTGATTTTGTCTGCTTAAAAAAAAGCAAACAGAAAAGGCCAAAACCACACTGCCACAGTATTTGTGAATAAAAGGCATCCAGGCACACACTACATGTATGTGGGTCTCTCATTTGAAAGGGAACAAGGATCCAGACCCAAATATTTTTGGGGTGGGGCCAAATGTGCTTGGGGAATTAATTAAGAATTTGTATGTAACCTTTTATGGCCTCTACAAGGGGTGAGACTGCTTTTTACACACTTTTGGGAGGGAAATAAAATAGCACCCCAATTGCTTTTTTCACAAATGCTTCCAAAAAAAGGGGAAGGTGACCCCTTTGGTCCTCCTGAATCTGCCGGGGGGGGTATAAATCATTTAAGATAGACTTTCACAGAAATAAATGAGAACAAATATGGCCACGCAATTTTTTTATTTGTTGGGCACACTGTAAAAAATATGATGTATTGAACAGGTTAACAGGTCTGTTTTGTAGTTCCCTACTTCCTTTGGGAAACAAACTGAGTGCCATTTTATGGAAACACCCTCTTCTCCCTTTCAACAAATAGAACATGATTACAGAGTGATAAAATTCTGAATCAAACTTATCTACGGGGTGGAATGCCCAACAGGGAGTGACCTCATCAGCTACAAAGCAAGGTGTGGTTTGTATACCAAAGGCAGAGCAAAACCCTTGCCATTTTGAAGAGCAACAACACACCCAGGAAAAAGCATCCGGTGTTGTTACTCATCATACGGCAAAATGGGCAGGGACCAGCAAATGTCACAGGGTCACTGATGGTCCCACTTGGCTGGGACCGGGGAAAAGCCACGCCAAAAGCAGCATTGCGGCAACTTCTCATGGCTGTGACCGATGTAATTGGTTTCTGATGAGCAAACACAAAGATATGTCTCTGTTTATGAATAAGTGGCATCAACTTTTAGCTATCTCATATTTTTTTACCAGGTATTGCTCTAGGTTTCACAAGATGGTTTCACTGGAATTGTGGTTTCATGCCCCAGTTTGTGCCACTGGAATATCTTTTGGGGCTTTGCAATTTTTGATGGATTTTTATTCATTTTCATATTCAAATTCATTGAATTTTACTTTTTAATGTGAAATGAAATGGGACACAAAGCTTTCACAAAAGCTCTTCAATTTTTATTGAAACAGGGACCAGAGAAAGACTATCTAAGAAATATTCTGGAACTAGAATGTCAGCATGTACGAGTGAGAGCTGGGGCTGACATGTTGATCCCAGCAGAGGGCTGCTTGAAACAAAACTGAAATTTTACTTCCTGTTCCTCTATTTATAAAACTGAATTAAAATAAATGGGGGTGCTGAAAGCCTCATACAGGGTGCCAATGTACTTTTATTTACTGCTTCTTCGAAAACTGTGACCCACAGTTTCGGAATACACTTTGAGTTGAAACAACAATCACTATATAAATACCCCCCCCCCTTTCATTAGGGCGGTGTTTGATGAGTAAC